TTCATGAATGCTTTAAGATTGAGCACTTTTCATATAGCTGGGTGACTTGGGTCACGAGATACAGACCAAAACGTGGACCCGGGTAAACTTAGGCTGTATTTGTTTAATATCGGCATAAAATGAAAGCTGTTATGTCAAAAGTATGCGGAAGCAAATAAAAAAAAAATTAAAAAATTCATGAATACCGTTTTAGTGAAAAATAAAATTGAGTAATGCGGACAGTTCTTTAATCTTCTTTAATATAAAAATTAATATAAAAATAAGTAGGGTTTTCCTTCCTGACGCTATAACTCCAGAACGCACGAACCGATTTTCACGGTTTTGCATTCGTTGGAGGTTTATAGCTAGGAAAATTCAGGAAAAATTTCAATAGAAAAGTATATGGTGTGTGAGTATCCCCCACGAAAATAAGTATGTTTCATTTAAAGTAGATGGTGCCATTGTTTAACAGCTATTCATTGTACTTTGCTCAGTTAATTTCATGTGACACTAGCGAATACCCGGCGTGCTTCGCTGCGCCTTAAAAGTAATTTTGTTTTGTTACTCCCTCTCACAACATTTGAAAATATTATTTAATATTGCTGTACATATTTGTATAGTAGGGAGATTTTTTCAAATTATATAAATATACGTTATTTGAATATTGAATCAATACACGTTTGAGGAAAGGGTGCGATAGTAGACTCCAGTTATAAGATTATAAATTAAATTTCCAAGAGAAAGTCGGTTCTTTACATATTTTCTAATTACCTTCGAAAATATATTAACTCAAAAAAAAAATAAACAATGCTTCATAGATCGATTTTTTTAAATCTAACTTCATAAAGTTCTTTAAAAATATTTTGTAAATGAGGCCATAAGAGCTTAGGGGGAGAGTTACAACACAAAAATACATTTAAGGCGCAGCGAAGCACGCCGGGTAATTGCTAGTAAGTACATAATATGCATATTATGCAAAACTGACCACCAACTTCGCTTCTTTGCTATTTAAAAATAGCTGTATTCATTAGCTATAGCTCATGGGAAGAAAATGTGTACATTTTAACCATGAGAGCGTATTAAACCAAAAATTTTGAACTCGGTGAACGAAATTTTTCACCAGAATATTCAGGATATGTTTTTTATTCTCAATTTTAAAATTTTGTCTTTTTATTTTTACATTTATTTAAAGTTGTTAATTTTTCACTATTATTATTTAGCTTTCATTTATTTTTAAATTTTTCGCCATATATTTTTTAATTTTTTATTTACCATTTTCAGTTTTTGTTAATCTTTTTTGTTGCTTTATTTATATTTATCTCTATTTATAACTTTATTTTTATTTTGATTTTTATTTATTATTTAATCATTAATTTTTATTTTAATTTTTTAACTTGTTTTATTTTATTTTTAAATATAGATCCATATGTATGTCGTGTTGGATATATCTTTTTGGAAAAAATTCAAAATTATATTGTTTGCCCTTAATGTTAATTAATTAGTTTTTAAGATTTTTCAATTAAAATACAGAATATAAACCCAAGCTTGAAACTTCGTAGAACACTGAGAAAACTGTATACTCAAAAAAAAAAAATTTTAGCACTTCTGAGAAAAGTTTAATATATTTTTTTGGTTGAGTTATTTAATTTTTTATTCTGACTTACATATTTTATTTTCAATTGCATTCATACTTATTCCATTTTCATTTTTACTTATTACAGTTTGGTTTTAATTTATTTTATTAGATATTTATTTATTTCATTTTTATTATTATTTTTATTTATTTCGCTTTCATTTTTCGTGTTACTTATTTAGTTTTTTTCTTATCGCATGATTTGATTTTCAAATATACATGCTGTTCACAAAAACTTAGGCCAAGGGTTATTTAATAAAAAAATGATCGTACTTTAGACACAAAGATTTGGAACCTTTTTTCAGTAACCTCAATCCCCCAAAACCAATTACAAAACTTTAAGCTATACTTTTCTCACTTTGATTGCAATTTCAGATTTTTTTCTATAATTTACTATGTAATTTTCCAAGAGATTCTTTAATTTAAGCCACACGCAGCTCTGACCAGCTTCGTTGCACTTTCTATAATTTCATGTTTTTGAATATAGCAAACAAACTTTTCCGATATGATTCACATTTACTTCACCGTAACTTTTACGTAACGGTCGTTAAAAAGAAATATTTATATTTGGTGTGAAATTTCTACTTATATTTTTGCAATGATAACGACTTCGTAAAAAATTAATAATTAAAACTAGAACTTTTTTTTTT